TCCTTTGATTAATGAACAGTTTCATTAAAAATTGTCTTATCCTGATTCATAGAGATTTATAATATAATAAAAATTTTAATTCTTTAAAAAAAACAAACAAAAAATCAAAAACTTCACATCATCATTCAAAAGTTGCTTTGTAAATAAGAAAAGAAAGTTTAATTCTATTTTATTAAATTAAAAAATCTGTATAAATAACAATTAGAATTTATTAAGCTTATATTAAATAGTTTTCTTAGTTTAAAAATGAAATTAAAATATTCTTACTCATATCCTAGATTACACATCACATTATTTGTTGATTCTTCTACTTAAACGCTCGTACTGATAAAGTAACACTTTTTTGAAAAAAATGACTTTTTTATTAACTAAACATTAAAGTTAATAAAGCGGTGTTTCACTTCACATCAAAAAGATTCACTGTGCTATTACATTAATATGATATTGATTATTAAAAACATTAGTTTTTAATCAATGAGTCAATGTCTTTATTAAAAAACCATTCCAAGAAATTATAAATAATTTAAAGTATTCAAAAGAATTGAAAAAGCTATTTTCAAAATATATTGTTTACATAACAATCTTTATTATACTGTTTATAATACTTATCTATAAAACTTATCTTTAAAAATTCTAAATTTATACTTTCGTATATATAAGATACAAAACAACTACTACAATCAACAAATGCAAAACATAACTTCAGTAATTTTTTATCTAAAAAGGGTAAATAAAAAATGAAAACTCTTTGAATTCACTAGAGTAAAATAAATTTTATTAATAAAAATTCTAACAAATTGTATCTTTATTACTTAAGTTTGTTTATTGTTTTAGAAGACATCCTAAATTTTATTATGTCATAATTAATTATGAGAAATTTTTTATAAAGTATACCTATAATGATATTAAAAATTTTAATGAAGTAAAAAATGTTTATTATTAAGCTATAGAATTTACAAATGTTGTAGTTATTAAACTTACCTCTTTAATAATATAAATAAGAAATGTAGGTAAACAAAGAATGTTTAACATTAGCAACAATTTTCTTAAGCTTTACTACTATATTCAACAACTTAATTAAATACGCGACATACTATAGTTATTGAAAAATATATTTTATATAAATTAAAAAATATCATAAATGGTAAATAAAATAGTTTTTTTATAATTTTATTAAATTGATTAAAAAACCATTTAAAAATTTTTTGTATTTAAGTTTAAAAATTTAAAATGATATATTTCTAATTTTTTTTAATTAATTACCCATTTTAATGATTTGGAATTTAATTTTTTTAAAATTTACCAATAATAGTGATGAAGCATCTTTTGAATTGGTTGATAAATTAAATACAAATTCTAAACAGGAAGAAAGTGAATCTAGTAATCAACCATTTCCAGAAAAAGCAATAGAAATAGCTAAATCAGATAGTGAAGAAGAACCTCTACTAAAAAGACAGAAAACAGAAGAAACAAGTAAAATGAGTTGTAAAAACAGACCAGAAAAATTAGAAGAATCTAGTGAAGTGGATGAATTAGTAAAATTAAAAAATTCAGTGAGTCTGGATGAAATAAAAGTAATAGTGAAATTTGAAGAAGGCGAAGAATTGTTGCAATCAGAAGAATTAGAAAAACCAAGAAGCACACAAAGTATCATTCAATATTCTCATATAACAGAAGAAACATTTAATTTTTTTGTTGAGTTACCAAAAAAATTTGGTGAATCTTTTTCAGATGATATTAATCAACAATATAAAAATGAATTTTGTAGAATTATACAGAGAAGAGATATTTTATTTCCAACAACCACATATGAATTTTACAAAATCTTAAAAACACAAGCTTTTAATAATTCCAAATTAATAGAAATTACTAATTTAGATTTTAACGCAGATCAAAATGATTCAAACAAATTGAACTATTTTGAATGTTTTTTATTGAGATTTGTTCATATTTTAACATATCAATATTATAAGGATTATAAAAAAGAAAATATAGAAGTTGTTAATGTACTCATAGATTTGTTAAACAAATACATTAAGTTTTATTTCTATTTTTTAAAATTAAAAGAAATGGTTATTATGATAAACAATGATGATCTTGATAATTTACAAAATACAAAAGAAGAATTTATTGATTTTATTAACGAAAATTTTCTTTGTCATATTAATTCTTTTACTAAAGAAGAAAAATATTCTAAATGTGCTAAAATTATTATTAGTATAAACAGAATTTTAAAATATAGTAAAAATTTTTCACATAAAAAAATAAGAAATTTTATAATGTTTAAATATGTTAAAGACGTTTCAAAAATATTTGATGATAAACTTGATAAAAAACAAAAGATAAAAATTCTTCAATCAATAAGTTATATGTTTCAATGGTATATTCATTATTCATGTAAAACAGATTTGATTTTAACAAAAAATTGTTAATTTAAGACTGAAAAATTAATACTTTTAAATATTTTTATTAATTTAATGAATAGAATCCCATGGAATATTGAACAATAAATTTTATTCCCGTTTAATAGATCTAATGTAATTAATATAAAAA